TGCTTAGCTTTTGGAAGGCACCTTTCGCTATCCCAATGCACCTTCGGAGTTCGGTGTCACATTTTCTGTTCTCTGTTCTCATATATTTAAATTTTTCGTATTTGCTTGATTTTCGTAACTCTAATATGTAGTTCTCCCTTATTACAATCGACTTTTAGTCTTTTAGGATTTTCGTTCTGATGTTATGACAATAAAACTATATGTCATTGAAACGAGTGGAAAGTAGAAAGCAAGGGAAGTAACTACAACAAAGAATTTAGAAGTTCTCTCCCTTTAGTATGTGAATGATTTTAGCGAAATAATTTCAAAGATTCCACTAAAAACAAGCGATACCTAAAATTTAAAATGCATTTTCAAAAATAGAAAATCATTCTTGAGATTCTTATTTCAATTTTAATTTTAAGCTAATGTGATTAAATTTGATATTCCAATAATACTTTGCTGTATTTCAAACAGAATTTAAATTAATTTGAATTATTTTTTGATTATCAGTAAAATGTATAATTTCGTCCATATTGACAAATCTTTCAAGACAACTGTTTATTTTAAAAAATAAGTAAAAAATAAATTATGCTTTTCTGAGATGCTATTTTTTTCCAAAATAGCTGATTTAATGTTTAATTAATCTGAATTGAAAGAAATGTTACTTATTTTTAGTTTTAAGTATCACAAAAACATTTTTTAAATACGAAGGTTGGAGTCTTTTATGAGGTGTTGACAGATATATCGACAGCTTGATGTTTGAGAAATTTAAGTAATGAGTATAAATAATAAACATTATTACATGAATACAACGTGAACGTCGTTTATATATATATATATATATATATATATATATATATATATATATATATATATATATATATATATATCCATTTATAAATACATTTGTAAATAGTTTTTTTATTTAATAACAATATCATTTGACCTTGTGCTACATCTAAGCTACGCTTAGAAAATCATTTGGGCACCTCGAGGCGGTGTAATGGGTAGCAAGCTGAGTAGTGAGTTCAATCCTCACCACACCGAGGTACCCTAATTGTTTGTTTAAATATTTAAGCCTAGAGAGTGTTCAAATTTATTTTGTTTTACATCATCAGGTTATAAAATTTAAGCGAAAATGAAAAACTATTATGAACTAGCTGAAAAGCCAACATAATCAAGTGTGACGACATATTATTTTATGAAAGATGGCGCCGAAAACATGAAGCGCCTTACATAAATCGAGGACTCACTGTAATTTAAAACCTAATAACGGGAAGAGCTGTTGAAGAAATGTTGTTATTTTTTATGGCAGATTTAAACACGTATTAGTCTAAGAGAGATTCATAGACTTAGAATGAAGGATTGGTTTTCTAGTGTTATTAAGTGATAAAATCCCCCCCATTAAAAATATATATATAATTTAAAATATATATATATATATATTTAAAGACTCGCGTGAGAAAACTGTAAACTTTGCTCTCGTATGTGTCAAGTCTTTTCAAGACGTGGGCGATCATAGCTCTTCACGATTTCTTGTCTTTTTTTGTTGTTTACCACCCCTCTTGTTCTGCCAACCATTCACACAAACAGTTTTTACCCCGCTTCTCTGGCCTTCAGTATGTCCTGTAAGTGTTAGATTCTCCAAACCTTCTTTCCTCGTGTGTTACAAAAAAACAGTTATATTTTATGCAAGAATATTTAAAACAAACTTCAGTAAGAGTTTCCGGAAATTTATTTAGAATGCCATAAATGGTGAGGCTTCGTTATTTGACTTTGTGGCAATTTCCTGAAAATCGATGTTTTATAATCAAGAAGTAGATATATCATAAGTTATTGTCGCCTTTACCAAAATTCAAGACTATACCAATACAAGAGATCAATATGTTATATATTCATTATTTTATAGTTTGGGGTGAATTTTGCTTTTCTTTTGTGGTATGTTCGAATTTTTTTACCATTTGTATCTTATATTTTATTGCTTTACTGTTTCCATGTTTTATTGTTTTAAAGCTTCTATCGTTTGTGTTTTATTGCTTTATCATGCGTCAATTATATTTTATTTCCTTATTCTTTTCATGTTTTATTGTTTTACTGTAACCGTTGTGTTTAATTGTTTTATCCTGTGTCATTTATATTAATTACTTTACTACTTCAATGTTTTATTGTTTTACCACCTCTAATGTTTGTTAATACTTACTATGTTTTATTGTTTTGTTTGCTTCTAACGTTTGCCTTTTATCGTTTTATAATTTGTGTCTTTGTAAACGCTTGTGTCTTTTACATATATTACTTTACGACTTTACGTTTTATTGTTTTACCGCCTCTAACGTTTCTGTTTTACTGTTTTGTAATTTGCATCTTTTTATTTTTTTTATTGTTTCACTGCTTCTGATTTTTATGTTTTGTCTTGGTATTTACTGTTGCTTTTACACTTTCTTTTATTGTTTTATCAATTTACTGTTTCCATGTTTTAATGTTTCCCTGCTTCTAAGGTTTTGGATTTTGTTTGTTTTTGTCTTTTTGATTTATTGTTTTACTGTTCTATTGTTTTACTGCTTCTAACGTCTGTCTTTTATTGTTTTATCGTCTGTTTTTACGCTTTACTGTTTTCATGTTCTACTGTTTTATTGCTCATAATGTTTCTCTTTTTATCGTGTCTTTTATATTTTATTGTCTTACTGTTCCTACGTGTTAGTGTTTTACCACTTCTGATGTTTGTGTTTTACTGCTTTGTCATTTGGTTATTTTATGTTTTATTGAGTTATTATCTGTGTTTAGTTCATTGTTCTAGTTTTATTTATTTTGCCTTTCATAATTGACGTTCTTACGTCTTCCTCAGTTTTTATGTTGTATTGCTTGTTTTTGTGTTTTTTGTTTTATTATTTGTTTCATGAAGCTGGCTTTTTATGACAGGCAAATTTAGCATATGATAATATGAACTACGTCCAAGAATTTCTACGTAGTCTACGGAAGAAGATTTGTATGGTATTTACCATACAAATCTAATGTAAGCTTCATGATACAAAGAATAAAACACAAAAGAGAAATAATATTAAAACAATAACGACACAGACAATAAAACCATAAAATAGAAGATATACAAATTACTGTTAATCATCATATAATGTTTTATTGCTTTGTTATTTGTGTATCATCTCTTTACTGTTTGTATTTGTTATTGGTTTCCTGTTTCACAGTATGATTTATGCTTGCGTGTTTTATGATTTGTTGTATTACTATTTGTTTTATATATATATATATATATATATATATATATATACATATTCTAGCCGAATTACCCGCGCCTTGCTGCGTGTCACACATTTTTTGATGATTGATTTGAAATCATTGTTGTAATTTGTGTAGATAAATGATGCATTTCAATATTACTCAATGATCTAGGCGATATGACCTCCATCTTCTGGCTTTCTTCCTCTATATTTTGGTTCAAATTTGAATTTAATTTAAATCAAAGCGGAAAAAATTCAGTGGGGGTTTTACACCCTGTGACCCCCCCTTTGATCAAAATGAAATATACTTATCCAAGTATCCTAGGAGTCATTACCTTGTTCAAATTTAAATTTAATTTATATCAAAGGGAAAAACAATTTCAGTGGGGAGGTGTGCCCCACAGGGATCTCCCTTAATCGAAATGAAATATACTTATCCAGGTACCCTGGGTAATGTAGTTTCAAAATATCTATGCTTATGGGGGTCTATCTCCAAAACACTAGGAGGAGTTCGATAACAGACAGAGACTACAAGTTTATATATAGAGATAGTATATGTTTTACATCTGCATTATTGTCTTATATGTACATTATATGTTTTACGTATGCATTATCGTTTTACTTTTGTCTCATATATGTTTTCTTGCTTTACTGTTCGTATCCTTCGTGTTTTACTGTTTGTATTTCATATTTTTTGTTTTACTGTTTGTTTGAATGTTTTACTATTCTTTCTTTTTCATGTTTTGCTGTTTGTGTCGCTTATGTTTTATTGATTTCTTCTTTGTGTCTTTTCTTTTTACTATTACGTTCTCCTATGTTTCATTGATTTTCTCTTCGTATTTTGTATTTTACTGTTTGCATTTTTCATTGCTTTCCTGTTTCACGCTTTTATGCTTTATTGCTTTTTTGTCTTGTGTTTTTTACGTTTTATGCATTTCTTATGTTTTTATTGTTTTGCCGTTTGCGTCTTTAATGTTTTACTGTTTGTATTTTTATGTTTTATTGTTTTCCTATTTGTGTCACTAGTTTTTTTATTGCTTTCGTGTTTGTCGCTATTTGTGTCTTTGAAACCAAAACGAAACCAATGAAACTTAAGTTTCATTGGTTTCATTTTTTGAATCACTTACGTTTTACTGATTTGCTGTGTCTTTTCTGTTTTGCTGTTTATCTTTTCTGTTTTATTGTTTTTCTGTGTGTCTTTTATGTTTTATTGCTTTCTGCTTGTGTCTTTCTACCTTTTATTAGCTTCTTTTTGTATCTCTTTAGTTTTACTGATTTCCTGTTTGTGACTTTTATGTTTTATTGCTTTATTGTTTCTCTCCTGTTTCATTGCTTTTCTGTTTGTCTTTTGTATTTTATTGTTTTACTGTATGCTTCTTTCAATGCTTTCCTGTTTGACACTTTTATGCTTTATTACTTTTTTGCTTGTGTCTTTTTAAGTTTTATGCATCGCTTATGTTTTATTGTTTCATTGTATATGTCTTTTATGTTTTATTGTTTGTATCTCTTATGTTTTTGCTTTCTTGTATATGTCTTATGTTTTACTATTTGTATCGCTTATGTTTTATTGCGTTCTTGTATGTTTCTGCTGTCTTTTATTGTTTTAATGTTTTTATCTCTCCTGTTTGTCTCTTTTGTGGTTACTATTTGTGTTTCATTTCTTTTGTCTCTTGGCATTTTCTTTTCTTTATTTTCTTAATGTCCGCTTTCCACTTGTTCGCTAAAGAAGAGCTTCGATGTTTTGTCTTTTTTTTTTTTTTTTCAGTTACTCTAGTCAGCCAATCCTCACAAACTAAATACAATTAATATTATCAGGAGAATAAGTCCCGTAAAACAGGAGACGGCAATAAGACCTCGACGTCGTTTGTACGCATTACTCACACTCTGCGACGAGGAAGTGACTGTAGTTGCGTTGTAAACCTGTGAATAAACATAAAGAAAATACAACAGATGAAAAAAAAAACAAATTATAACGATTTTTTATAAAAAAAAAGCAAAAAAACTCCAAAAAACAGACGTTAAAGTTTTTATATTGGTCACCATTTTACAAAAAAAATGACTATAATCATACTTATTATAAAACCCAGGTTGTGTGTGTGTGTGTGTGTGTACGTTTATATATTGGATCGGATTTCCTACATTTTTCAACCGATTTCAACAAAACTTCACAGGACTACGTAAAATTACCTTGCGGTGGTTCTGACAGCGCCAAAAATTGGAAAAACACAATTGTTTTTGCCCGAAATCAATTTGAAAACACGATTAAGAGGCATCGCGAGAATGAAGGGGGACAACTCATATCGAGTTATATTTATTATAAAACCCAGGTTGTTTTGTGTGTGTGTGTGTGTGTGTGTGTGTGTGTGTGTGTGTGTGTGTGTGTGTGTGTGTGTTCGTTTTATATGGGATCGGATTTCCTACATTTTTCAATCGATTTCAACAAAACTTCACTTTTTTTTTGGCAGGTAGTGTTTCTTATTGTCTTTTTTTTTTTTTATTTTTACATTCAGAATGCTTTAAAATTCCATTTACAAGACAATTGTTTATAATAAAATTCTATTCAATCGGTAGACTCATAACGATTGAAAACAATGTTTGAGTTTGGGTTTGACCAATTGGTAAAAAAAAAAAAAACTAATTAAGACATGCGTGTCCGTCAATAATCTTTGTCAATTTTATTTTTCAGTCTTTATGATGGTCGATACTTGATCTATCTCTTACTGTTACATATCCGGGCAACGCCGGGATCTACTGCTAGTCTGAAATACTTCTTAAGGTAAACGATGCTACTGTTTAATATTAATGATGTTTTTGTTTGAATTTCTGGCGTGAGGTGTTATCATTATTTATTTATATTTGGACTATGGAAACAGGCGAGTAATAAATAAATAAAATAAGGACTAAACGACATTTCTATACATGAGCAGTGGAACGAGAGCAGTATAACCCCAGAAATTAACAAAGGGTTCAGTTAAGAATTCCCTGTAGGTTACCTAAATCGATATACACCGGAAGAAGTCCGGATGGCACAGCGGCCGAAACGTTGTCATAAAAACAACAAAGATGAAGACAAAATTCTGAACTGAACTCTTTAATAAAGCTATATTAGATACCTCCACATGATTGCTAAAAAAAGAGCATAGCATGGTGAAAAAGACGCCAAACTTGACGAAAACAAAATTTTATCGTCTAAATGTTCATGTTATTATTAAGAGGAAAGATCAAAGTATTTTGGGGGTATTTTTTTACATTGTTTTAATCGTTCCTAGCACGTCCGAAATTTTCGTTAAAAATCTTTTTTTTGGGGGGGGTCAGCAAAATTGACAGATAATCGATCATGGCAACCATTTTTTTCCATTTTATAAAAAAAATGAAAATCTCACTTTGAAATTCTTTTAAAAATCAATTATCATTTTTTCAAAACACTTATTTTAAGAAAATCAGAAATTATAATGTTTATTTAAAATATTTTGAACCAAGCTTAACTTAGCTTCGGTGCCGAAAAGATGTAATTTGAAAATAAAACAAAGCAGGTCATAAACTTTCGCATCACTTGACAGGTGATGAATAACATATTGACGGATTACGTGAGGATAATTCCTTCTATGGAAGGAGAGAAGTGAATTTATTTACATTTAAGTGAACAAATTATTTACCTCGTTATTTTTAAGGAAAACTTTCAGCGCTCTAATTCTTTTTTTTTTTTTTTTTGTACTTATCTTTCATCTTTACGTTTACGATGCTTTATGGAAATATATTTTAAAGAAATTAAAATAAGACTGTTAAGAGTAAGATTAAATTTCATAAGAAAGATATCTAATTAATTTATAGGTACCTTTTTTATGAAATTTTATTAGAAGTGTACATAAAATACTATAATTTTATGTACATTTATTACATTTTACTGTGTTATTTGTATTTCCATTCATTTTATTACTAATTTTGATATTTCATTTATGGAAAAATGTCATAACTGAGATTAATATAAAAATAAGATCATATAAATTTCATAAGATGATACCGATACTTGTAGGTACCCTTCTCAGTTGAAATTGAAAAATCAAATAAACTTCTCCACGCGTGTTTCGCAAAAATAAAGGCCTTAACAGCGGAGAACAATGCTTAACTCAAATAACGCAACTTAATTATATTCTGGTTGGTCTTCTGTATTTTATAACTAGAGTCCGATTATAAGCACAATTACATTTCTTAATTACTGCGGGTCTTCTGATTAGTCAAAACGATACAATTTACAACGCGTTAAAAAAAGATCTATCTCATAAGGACACTTACGAAAGCGGATGCGGCTTTTAACTTTAATTTTATAATATTTTAACAACTTAAATGTAAAAATCTATTATAATTAGAAATAACAAATAATTGTATTAAAAATTCATCGAAAAAAAATTTTTGCTTTTCAGAAAATATTGTCCATATTCATAAAAACAACTAAAAGCAAATAAAAGCATTTGAAATTAAATAATATCTTTGTTTTATTAAGTTTTGTATGTTACAATTCAGCGCTGATTTTCAGGTAGGGTGGGGGTCCAATTAAAAACTAAAAATACATGATTTGCATTCCTCAAAGCCTTGTTTTTAACTATTGTAATTACTAAAGTGGACTCGATCGAATTTCTAGAGTTTTCATAAAATTAGTTATGTTAGGTAATAAATATTAAAAAAATATTTCTGTCATGACTTTAATAAAAACAACATATTTATAATAATTTCGATCATCTGAATTCATACTTTCTGAAATTTTCATTAACATCAGACAATTATTTTTATTTTTGCAAGATTTTCCAAATTAATGTGTGTCATACAAAAAAAACGTGCTAAAAATTGTATGTTATTTTACTAGTTTCGGTGATACAAAGAGAAACAAGAATTTTTTAATCAAAATTTAGAATGTTCTAAAAAGAAGGAAAACATTTTTAAAAATAATTAAAATAAACTTTGATCTTTCCTCTTCATAACATAAGCATTTAGACGATAAAATTTTGTTTTCGTCAAGTTTGGCGTCTTTTTCATCATGCTATGCTCTTTTTTTTAACGATCTCGTGGAGGTACCAAAGCTATATAGATTAAATAGAGGGTTCACTCCAGAATTCCCTGTAAGTTACCCAAATCGATATACACCTGAGGAAGTCTAGAGGGTACAACAGCCGAAACGTTGTCATAAAAAACAACAATGATGAAGACAAAATTCTGAACTGAACCCTTTATTAAAGCTATGTTGATTAAATAAAGGGTTCACTCATGAAATCCCTGTAGCTTATCCAGATCGATATACACCTGATGAAGGCCTGAGGACACAACGGTCGAAACGTTGTGGTAACAACAACAAAGATGATGACCTAGGTGATCATAGCTCTCTGTTTCTTTATCTGGGGATTGCAATTATGTCTTGGGAAAGAGTGTGGAGTGATTGCTCTATTTTTTTTCACGGTTTAGAATTCAGAGTTTTACTTCTGTCAAGACACGAAAGCGGATACTATTTAACCCATAGCTGGAGGTGAGAAGAAATTGATTCAATGGCCTTTGAGCGGAAGTGAACCGCAACAGACGAGACGGGAATTTGAACTCGGATCAACGATTTCAATTTCTGCGCCGGCGATCGTTACTCTAGCTCAGTGGTTTCTAACCGGTGTGGCGGAAGAGGTTAACCGGTGAGGCACAATGATTGAAAGACAATCAAAGATTTAGAAACAGTTACAAAAAAATCACATGCCAAAAAGAAATGATTTCCAAATTTAAAATATTGTTATAGGTTATTAAATTGCATGCATGAGTCCCAGTATAAATAGTTATAAATAATTATTAACCGATTTTATCATTGTGATATTTTTGCATTATATCAAGTATTAAGAATATATTAACTAGAGCCCGAAAATTAGAGAAGAGAGTTATCAATGATAATGTTCTGACTTTGATTCCACAGTTACCTCCCTTGAAACAACTCTCTACTTTTTATTTTTAAATGTGCTTCTTATCACATAAAATTTGGTGAGAAGCGAGCAAAGTTTCATTCCGAAAATGTGACCCCCCCCCCCAAAAAAAATGGCAACTGCTGCTCTAGCCGCAAGCACTAAAATGGTTAGTTGGTTGGTTTTGTTTAGCTGCATATCAACCTTTATGGATTATTTAATGCCGAATTCTAAATATTTTGAACACAATTTTATGGCTTCATCTACAGATAAAATTTATTGCTGATCATTTTGCTATAAAATCTATTGTTGGTCATTTTGCTATAAAATGTATTGTTAGTCATTTTGCTATAAAATGTATTGTTGGTCATTTTGCTATAAAATGTTTTGTTAGTCATTTTGCTATAAAATGTATTGTTAGTCATTTTGCTATAAAATGTATTGTTGGTAATTCTACTATAAAAGGTTTTGTTGTCATTTTGCTTTACAATTGTTGGTAATTTTGCTAAAATTTACTGTTGGTATTTTTTATATATAAAAGGCAAAACGACCGAAAGGTTTTGGTAGCAAGAACTAAGACGAGGACAATAGTCCGCATATAAATAGTGTAAATAATGATCACTCCTCATCCTAGAAATTCAAATAGAAATAACAAAGTTAGTTAATAGATAGATAGATAGATAGATAGATAGATAGATAGATAGATAGATATTAGTCTGAATGTAAATAAAAATGCATTGCTGTTAATTTTTTTGCTTCCTTTTCAATAATGTATTACTTGTAATCTTTTTTATACAATGAAAACATATTACTAGTATAAGAAAAATGTATTTTTATACTTTCATAGATTTATCTTTTTGTTTGAAGGTTTACTATTTTCCCATAGCTGAGACCCTAACAGGTGCTACAACCCCGGGTCAGGGCATACCTGGGAACAACAGCAATTAAGTGGTGGTTCCAGGCTTCACAAATCCTCCAACCACCCGATCAGAAGCCTTGCTACCGGATGAAGTTTTATACCCAGGACTTATACTAAAATAAATAATATCTATCGATTTCCACTTTGGGGATGATCGAACACTTATATTCGCAACTGGCGTGGTTGATGAGCTCGAAGGTGGCTTTGTAAAGTAGATTCTTGTTTGGAATCGGAGGAAACAGTAAGGATGGATCAAAGTTACTATGGCATAACTGACTCCTCGTATCAAATTGTGCCTGTCTGTTAGGTTATCTAGCTAATCCCTGTTGCAGACACTTGCACAGGCCCATTTATGTTTCTTTAATACCCACGGAGCCAATCTGTGGTTTATACTGCAACTAGGCTTAACGTGCCTCTGTTATTGTTTCTGGGAACGAGCGCCTAATTTCGCGTGATCAATAGTTTGAACAAACCCAGTACGTTCAAACCCTCGGTCACGATGACTTGTTACTTCGTGCTAGCCCTTTCGTCTACCCAGCTTCGCTCACAAGGCTTGGGTCAAAACTGTGGTGTCGTTTTCAAGCGCTCCCAAACAGATCGTCCATGGTGAAATCTGAACCTGGATCCCATGATCAGAATTTAACGACACGGCCACGCGTTCTTGTACAGCAAAGTTAGTAAACAAATAACATAAAAGAATAATTAAAAGGAAACTTCACCATAGAACAGAAGTTAGCAAATCTTTTGGCTCACCATTTGTCGTCGCACACCAACTGTAGCATTTCCTACTTTAACTATCACCTGATCCCATGAAAAGCCGAAGCAGTACAATGGTGGCTTAGCCAAATAACCCCCAGTAGCATCCCAATTGTACTACATATCGCCAACCGTCGCTTCCACTGGAGAACTCATCCGTCTGCCGAAAGGAGCAGTGCTAACCAAACAGTCTGATGCAGACAGTGCTCAGCAACTGCAATCCACCAGCCTACTGTGACTGGTTTCCCTGTATCCCTGACACGGGGAGCTTAGGGGTTTAACCTAACGAAGGAAAAGAGTCTGTTCACGTCTCCATTCGTGAGCTGCGACCAAAATATCAGTTTCAACACGCTGCCCAGGATTATGTGGAGATGTTCTGTTGGTGTTTGCAATTATTACTAATAAAGTCTCTCTTGGCAGAGATATGTACAGATTCTGTTGCCGACCATCTTCACCCGTACATATTGGCCATGTTTCCCGGTTGCGATGTCCTTTTGATATGTCCCGGAAAGGGATATATTTGAACGAAGTAGCTAAGTGGTTTTGGCTACTATAAGCAAGTAGAATACGGTAGCAGTAATCGACTGGTACGCGTCGTAGTCGCAGGTAAGAAGAGTAGATCAATGGCGTGGTCCAATGGGCGTCATTATAGACTTAGCTCTCAGACTAAGGCTCTTGACTCTGTCGTACCTACACGTCCGTCGGTATTTATGACGGACACCAGCCAATCATATTCCAGTGAGGGGGAACACACGTTTATGCATATTCCATTATATCACCTTTACACCTCCTAATGATACGAAACCTGTTCTAGAAATACGGATCAATCATCTAGGTACTTCTCGTCCTGGATATGACGATAAACTACATCCACGTCCTGGGTAAGGCGATAAACTACGTCCAACAGCAAGGCCTCTGATCAGGAGGTTTTGAGGAGCGTGCAACCGCCTCTTAATTGCTGGTATTCACAGGTCCACCCTGACCCTGGGTGGTAGCACCTGTTAGGGTCTCAGCTATGAGCAAATAGTCAACACCCAAACTTGTGTAAAAACAGGTTTTAATACCAGAAATACTTTGTAATAATAATAAAAAAAATTATTACCAGCAATAATTTTTTAAGAAAAAATTATTATCAGAAATAGATTTTTGAAGAAAAACATATTACTAGCAGTAAAAATTTTGTTGGCATTAGATAACCCCTTGAGGTTGATATGCCGTAAAACAAACCAAACCAAATCCAACTAAATCCAGGTACTTCATTAACCTTCAGGCCCGTCAGATTAAAGCATCCACACCCCAAAAAGCATAACTCAGTTATAGATATTATTGGAACATAACGATATAGATATACCAAAGCAACGACTCAAGCACTACATAGGCTCCATGACATGTCGAGTAGCCGCCGTAATCAGGTGAAACGAGGTAACTGACACTGCGTTTAGTTCATGCTTTTCGAAGATTTAAAATACAATGAAAAATATTAGTTATGATAAACTTACCTCTGTACTATTTGGGCCACCATCCTGCAAAAAAAAGAAGACAATCGTTTATATATTTATTTAAATTTTACTCCATACATTTGTCCCTTCCCTTATCTTCTGTAAAGCCTCAAGGGTTCCTCCACAAGTGGGATCCCCTAACAATAAATGCTTACAGAGACAAATATAAACGATAAATATATGCCTATCCTGAAGTCAAGTGAATAAACTCAAATATAATCAACCAATAAGCACCAATCCACGAATTAAGTAAATACTTATAGAGTCAACTATAAACAACTAATATTTACCTATCAGTAAATGTTCAAATATAAACCTTTAATGTTTATCTAAGTAAATGCCTATAGACGCAAATATAAATCATTGATATTTATCTAACCCTGAATCAAGTAAATGCCTATAGACTCAAATATAAACATTTATCATTTACCTATCCTCGAAACAAGTAAATGCTTACAGAGTCAATTATAAGCAACCAATATATATCGAACCAGGAACAAACTCATAGACTCAAATATAAATGGTTAATATTTGTCTATACCTGAACCAAGTTTATTTTTATAAACTCAAATATAAACCTTTAATATTGATCTGTCCCTGTCGAAAATCAGTACTTATAGACTCAAATATAAACGTTTAATATTCATTTATCACTGTACAAAATCAATATAAACCTTTAATATTGATCTATTCATGAACAAAATCAATATTTATAGACTCAAATATAAACCTTTAATGTTGATCTATCCCCGAAACTTGTAACAACGGTTCACGTTCGATCACCGAAGTTAAGCAACGTCGAGTCTGTTCAGTACCTAGATGGGTTGCCACTTGAGAACACCAGTTGCTTCAAGCTTGGATGTGCGGATGGTGTAACGGCTGAGAGAGCAGAGTTCTAATTCTCGTTGGGTTCGTTATATTCACTTTGGAAAGGTAGGAATCAACCTCTTCTCCCTCACCAACTACGGATTAATTAACAAGATTTGTGTCACTAAATAATTATTATCTAAAAACAAAAAAAATCTCACAATATGAAAATATTTTCTGGCTTTAAATAACCTGCAAAGGGTTGATAAGCCGTACAAAACGAATCGATCAATCAATCAATTTGAAAGAAGGAAGTTCCACTTGGACAGCATCTTCTCCAGGGCTGCAGCTATTATTATCGTAACAAAATTCTTACAATCTAAAAATATTTTCCGACTTTAAATAACCTGCAAAGGGTTGATAAACCGTAGAAAACGAATGAATGAATCGAGCAAGTAAATACTTACGCGCCAAATATCATCAACCAATATTAACCTATCCCCCGGACCAAATAAATGCTTATAAACGACTAATATTTCCTTATCTTATTTCTTATGCTTATAGAATCAATTTTCTTAAAAAGACTCATTTTGACTTAAAAAGAAGAAGCTCAACGGGACATGCAAAAACAACCCACCCACACCAACCTCCCATATCCACGAGAGATACGTCTATAGTGGATGCTTAAAAATGTACAAGTCGCTCTACATTTACTATGTTTTGTCTACACATAGAACAGTGATCCGATTCCTCTGGTCGGAAGCTGCATCAGGGGCTGAAAATCTTCGGAGGTTTTGAACACAATACGGCGATACTGCATTACCGTGTAGAAGTGTGTATGGGTGGATTGAGAAGTTTAAAAGTGGCCGAATAAGCGTGACGTACGCAGAAGGGGCAGGACACCCGTCAATCTCCACCACTGACGAGAAGATTCAGCAAGCTCGAGAGATGGTAATAATAATAATAACCTGCTTCTGGTCAGGGATGCCGTAATCAAAGGGTAGTGGGGCAGAGGGCACGGTAGGAGTAATGTTCGAGTCTGTGAACGAAGAGGAAAGGAGAAGAAAAAAAAGCATGTTCTCTGCGAATTCGGATCACTGCTCTTTGTGCCACTTTTGTTCACACTGCGAGCGGAGAGGCCATGTGTAAACTGTAACAACAGAAAGAAAACTGGCGCGGTCAAACTCAACCATTCGACCACGTGACCACAGTTGCACCGATTATAAGCACGCGTGACCAGAAGGCAGTGTGACAAACCTAAATATATGTTACAGAGAAAGTGTGGATAATTTTTTTGACTTACTCTCGTAAATAATAATACTTACAATGATTGAAGGCGGGGAAGTGTTATGATGAGCTGGAGTAAATTGCTGGTTATGGCTTCGATTAAAGGAAGGTTGATATTGATGGTGTGCCTGATGTGACGAATGGGAGTCGTGGGGAGCTTGTATTCGAGAATAGCCGACGCTGACAGGTCCGGAAAACTGAGAACTGACAGGAGGAGCGTTCGACATGGGAGGATACGGCGGAGGCATGAATCCCAGATTACCGGCAGGTGGTGGTGGAGGTGGTGGTTGGTGGAATCCGATAGTAACATTGCCGTCGGGGAATTCCGTCGACATCTGTCCGGGTATGTACTCAGACTGGGGTGCCAAGGGATAGGGAGCGTACATTGTCCGGTTGACTGTGCTGTATGCTTGACTAGGGTTATGGAAGTGGTGGTATCCGTAAGTGAGGTTGCGCGGGAGGGTTCCGCCAGAGTGTGAGCCGGGACTTGTTGTATGGAGCGCGGTCAGCGATATCTTCTGGTCAGGGATGCCGTAATCAAAGGGTGGCGGTGCAGAGGGCACAGTAGGAGGAACGTTCGAGTCTGTGAACGAAGAAAAAAGGAGAAAAAAAGCAATGTTTAAAAAGAACAGTTATGAGAAAAATCATTTATTTACCTCATCTAATGTCTTCTTTGATGTAAAGCCTATATTCCACTTGTGGAGGTTAAAAACAAAATACAGGCACTAAAAGAAGCAGCATACATAATCATTTATAACTATCTACTTTGTTATCGAGCGACATTTAAGCTAGCTCCCGCGGAGGACACTTGATAGGGCCTTCATCAGGATCGCTATGGGTGAGTAGATGCGATAGGCAACATTAAACTACAGAAGAACTCAAAGTTGATCGCTGCATTTAAATATTGCATTAATATTTAAGATTAACTTTTAAAGTTCAACGATAATTATTCTGCCGCCACTTAATTTATAGACAATTTGATGTACGTAGGTCCTTACTTTTCGTATATATTAAAATGAATATTTACAGAAATTAGCCGGAATAATTCATAATACAATGAAAAAAATAATTTAAAATTTCCGGACATTTGAATGGATAACCAATGTTTCATATTGAAAAGGAATATTTACGTATATTAGTCGGGATAATTCATGATACCATGAACAAAACCTTCAAATTTTCGGACATTTGAATAGATAATCAATGTTTTATATTAAAAGGGAATATTTACAGATATTAACTGGAATAATTCATAATACAAAGAAAAAAAAATTCAAATTTTTGACATTTCAATAGATAATCAATGTTTTATATTAAAAATGGATAGTTACAGATATTAGCCGGAATAATTCATAATACGATGAAAAAAATAATCTAAAATTTTCGAAAAATCTATACGTCGCGTGTTTTGCAAAAGAATTCTTTGTCCATTGCAGTTTAATTTGATCAAACTCCAATACAGGCGTTTTGAACATTAGTTTGGATAATTTTTCCTTTTCTCTTTGATTTACGGTATCTTGGATTTTACAAGCTAGTACCAGGAAAAAAAACATTTTACACTGGTTAAATAACCTATAGAAATTTTATAAATTTTTATATTTAATGTAGAAATCTATTTTTTCCGAATAGTTGAATCGATAAGTAAACACGGATTAGGTTTATACTTGAGTCTATAGGTAAAACATTCATCGCGTTAATACTTGAGTCTGCTTTATACTTGAGACTATAACTAAACATTAGCCAGGTTAGTTCTTGATTGTATAGATAAACATTGGTTGTATTTAAACTTGAGTAGTATAAAACCAACAACGGTTGGTTTTATACTTGAGTCTATAAGCATATAATTACCATATAATTGATATCGGATTTTAATTTTTATTTTTATAATTAATATCGGATTTTGATTTTTATAATTGATATGGGATTTTTATTTTTATAATTAATATCGGATTTTATTTTTTATTTTTATAATTAATATCGGATTTTTATTTTTATAATTGATATGGGATTTTGATTTTTATAATTAATATCGGATTTTATTTTTTATTTTTATTATTAATATCGGGTTTTTATTTTTATAATTGATATGGGATTTTGATTTTTATAATTAATATCGGATTTTATTTTTTATTTTTATTATTAATATCGGGTTTTTATTTTTATAATTGATATCGGATTTTGATTTTATTTTTATCTTTATATTTAATATCGGATTTTGATTTTATTTTTATCTTTATATTTAATATCGGATTTTGATTTTTGTAATTAATATCCTATGTTTATTTTGATTTTCATAATTAATATCGGATTTTGATCTTCATATTTAATAGCGCATTTTACAATAGATATCACAAGGTTAAATAGATAAATGGATTATAAGAAAAATAATATCGAAAAAAGGTGAGAACGTTTAGGAAAAAGAAGTTATAAATATAGAAAACACTAATGGCATCTCAAATTCCAAATAGATTTTCAGGAAGGATAATGACAATTGTATCAAGTAACAAAAAAGAAAAGATGAACATTTGGCTCCAGAGTAAAAGAGATTTTTGAAGAGACAAAGAAAAGAAAACTGTAGATAATTAAATGCTAATTTCCTGCTGTAACGTGAACTTGAGAACATGTGCTAAACATCCACAGAAATGATGTTGTGCACACATAGATAGATAGATAGATAGATAGATAGATAGATAGATAGATAGATAGATAGATATAATATCTACAGAAAGAACACCCATAGAAATGATGCTGTAGATAGATAGATAGATAGATAGATAGATAGATAGATAGATAGATAGATAGATAGATAAAATATCTATAGAAAGAACACCCATAGAAATGCTGATGTACACACATAGATAGATAGATAGATAGATAGATAGATAGATAGATAGATAGATAGATATAATATCTACAGAAAGAACACCCATAGAAATGATGCTGTAGATAGATAGATAGATAGATAGATAGATAGATAGATAGATAGATAGATATAATATCTACAGAAAGAACACCCATAGAAATGATGCTGTAGATAGATAGATAGATAGATAGATAGATAGATAGATAGATAGATATAATATCTACAGAAAGAACACCCATAGAAATGATGCTGTAGATAGATAGATAGATAGATAGATAGATAGATAGACATACAAAGATAGATAGATAGATAGATAGATAGATAGATAGATAGATAAAATATCTATAGAAAGTACACCCATAGAAATGCTGCTGTACACACATAGATAGATAGATAGATAGATAGATAGATAGATAGATAGATAGATAGATAGATAGATAGATAGATATAATATCTACAGAAAGAACACCCATAGAAATGATGCTGTACACACGTAGGTAGATAGATAGATAGATAGATAGATAGATAGATAGATAGATAGATAGATAGATAGACAGACATACAAAGATAGATAGATAGATAGATAGATAGATAGATAGATAGATAGATAGATAGATAAAATATCTATAGAAAGAACACCCATAGAAATGCTGCTGTACACACATAGGTAGATAGATAAATAGATAGATAGGTAGATAGATAGACAGACAGACAGACAGAGATAGATAGATAAAATATCTATAGAAAGAACACCCATAGAAATGATGCTGTACACACATAGGTAGATAGATAGGTAGATAGATAGATAGATAGACAGACATACAAAGATAGATAGATAGATAGATAGATAGATAGATAGATAGATAGATAGATAGATAGATAGATAAAATATCTATAGCAAGAACACCCATAGAAATGCTGCTGTACACACATAGATAGATAGATAGATAGATACATAGATAGATAGATAGACAGACAGACATACAAAGATAGATAGATAGATAGACAGACATACAAAGATAGATAGATAGATAGATAGATAGATAGATAGATAGATAGATAAAATATCTATAGAAAGAACTCCCATAGAAATGCTGCTGTACACACGTAGATAGATAGATAGATAGATAGATATACAAAGATAGATAGATAGATAGATAGATAGATAGATAGATAAAATATCTATAGAAAGAACACCCATAGAAATGATGCTGTACACACGTACATAGATAGATAGATAGATAGATAGATAGATAGATAGATAGATGATAGATAGATAGAAAAACAGACAGACAGGCATACAAATATATATAGATAGATCGACAAACTATATATATATATATATAGAGAGAGAGAGAGAGAGAGATGGATATATATATATATATATATATATATATATATATATATATATAAAGATAGATAGATATAGATAGATTAGGTTGGTAGATTTTATCTTGGCTTATTTAATGTCGCATTTTGTAAGGGGCACTAAGTGAGGATCAAACTCACTCCTCAGGTCAATCAGACTAGCCTTGTTTATCATTGCTTTTTACGGAGGCGCCAAAGATAGAACAATCAACAGATATAAACAAGCATACACACAAATAGATAGATAGTTAGATAGATAGATAAAATAACAGTAAATCAATAAAAATACCTCAGAATGTTTCTGAATCTATTTAAAACATTTCATCCTGTTTAAACGTAATGAAAAACAAAAATAACTTTAAAATATGTCAAGTGTGTTAACCCTTTGTGTCCTGACTACCGCTTTACCGGTGGTAGAGAAAAATGATTTAATACCCAGCCACCAGTTGAACGATGGGTAAACACTTGAGTCGTGTTTTGCTATTCTTGTACATCAAAAGAGACAGCACCTGCTGGGTAGACTGGCAAACAAAGAAAGAATTCTAGCGATAAAGTGAAGGCATGAAATCATACTCCCTCTCCCTGCTAAGTATAATGCTTAGATTTTTTGTAACTATTTTTATATCTGTGAAACATTACATAGCAATTATTTGCGAATTTTGACTCAGGATCTCAGGCAGAAGGGTTAAAATTGTTCTGGAACGCAGGGCTCAAAGGTTTGAGCCTGTGAAAGTTCATGGCTCTCCACGCTTACCGTAGAAAAAGCGTTCGCAGTTTAGGCATCTAGTGACACCATTCCACACGTGGGGAGAAAGAGTGTTACTATTTAATCAGTTACTCACGTGGCTTCAGTAAATCTTAGTTAGTTTAGTTGAAGCTGGTACAAGGCCATGTTAATGAAGCACACAATGAAGTTAATTATCTCTCTCTCTCTCTCTCTCTCTCTCTCTCTCTCCCAACACCGTGATACAACAAAAAATTTGAGGAACGTAAAAAGCACAATGGCTTCTTGAACGAAATAAAAAAATATAAGAAATTAAATTATTTGCGAAATTTGAATCAGGGGCTCAGACAGAAGGGTTAAAATTGTTCTGGAACGCAGGGCTCAAAGGGTTGATCATGTGAAAGTTCATGGCTCTCCACGCTTACCGTAGAAAAAGCGTTCGCAGTTTAGGCATCTAGTGACACCATTCCACACGTGGGGAGAAAGAGTGTTACTATTTAATCGACTCCTCACGTGGCTTCAGTAAATTTTAGTTAATTTAGTTGAAGCTGGTACAAGGCCACGTTAATGGAGCACACAATGAAGTAAATTCTCTCTCTCTCTCTCTCTCTCTCTCTCTCTCTCTCTCTCTCTCTCTCTCCCAACCTCGTGATACAACAAAAAATTTGAGGAACGTAAAAAGCACAATTGCTTCTTGAACGAAATAAAAAAACATAAGAAATTAAATTATTTGCGAAATTTTACTCAAGAGCTCAGACAGAAGGGTTAGAATTGTTCTGGAACGCGGGACTTAAAAGGGTTAAAGCACACTTTACTAATAAACAAAGCAATTTCTAAATAATTAATTGATTTTTATTTATTAATCCGACATATTTTCATTAATTTTAACGTTATTTTCAGTGGATGCCCATATCTGAGTAGACGTTCCGTTTATTTTAAACAGTATTATATTTCGTTTACAAAACTGAATATTCGAACCTGTGACCACCTTAAGTGCTTTAATCACTCGGCCACGAAGAGTGTCATAATGATGCCTGCTTCTGTTTTGCCCTTAAAATATACTTTACTCGTTCAGTCTTTAAAAATTGCTTTTTTTTAACGATTCAGGCACGAAACTAAGTAGTTATGAGTTCCGGAAAATCTCAACCTGTAAAATGTCATTAAAGGCAAAATAGAACCTTGCATAATTACAATGTTCTTCGTAGCTGAGTCGTTAAGGAACGTCGGATCAAACGATGGTTCGTCCTGCAAAGGGGGACACAGGTCAGAATCCTGTCGGAGGGCACCTTTTCTTTAATGAGTCTTCTCGAGTGTGCAGTCTGCTAGGCTAAATAAATACTGTTTAAAATAAAACAGAGCGTCTACTCAAACACGAGTATCCGCTAAAAATTGGTGTTAGAAGTATTATAAGTATCTGCCACAAAAAAGCGATACCTATGGTTTAAAATGAATTTTTAAAAAAGAAAAATCTTTCTTGAAGCTTTTATTTTAGTTTTAACTTCAAGACTATATTTAATATTTCCAATAAGAAAAATACTTCGCCGTATTTCAAAACTAATTTAAATTGACTGGTATTTTTTTTTTTTTTTGATTTTCAGTAAAATGGATAAGTCTGTCAACACAACATAATTCTCTTTATTAAAAATAATTTCGAAAAGTAATTGATTTAAAATTTCATTACCGCAATTTATCGAAAATAATACGCAACCATAAATAATCCGCACCCCAACAAATGATCCAAAAAGTAAGAAAGATATCTATCCCTATGTATAATACGCATCTATAAATTTTGTCAAATAAAAAAACAAAAAATAATTACGAAGACATTTTGTCGACCTTGACATTAAGAAAAAAATCGAAACTTAAGCGGTTAAAATAATGTTGAAAATTACCAAGCGGTTTTTCTCGATAAATATAACATTTTATTTTACCGCCAAAATGTCGTCAAAACGTGCGACTAAGTGCAAATGGATTCAGGAATCTTCGGATTCCGTCAGTGAGGATTTTTTAAAGAAAGGTTTCAAGAAGTATTGTCTCACGACAGACATGGATGGCTCTGAAGATGACATCCTTTGGCAAGAGAATGAAGAGGCCGAAGATAATTTTGAACAGGACGAAAATAATATTGTGAATGATAATTTGTTTAATGACAATTTAGATATCGATTCTATAGTAGAAAGTGGTGATGATGATGATGATGATGATGATGATGATGATGATGATGATGATGATGATGATGATAAAAATTAAAATTTCAATAAATTATTAACTTGATATCCTCTTTTCGAAATTCGCCTTTTTATAGATTTTTTATTTTTTTTCCAAATAAAAAATGCGGTTACTGATAAGCATAAATTTATTGCCAAAAAATAAAATTATTATTGTATTTAAAATGAAATTTGTGATAATATCTTTCTTATTTTAGAACAACAAGTACGTATTTATTATTATAAATCAATAAAAAATTTTTTTTGCTTAAACCTATATATATAATACGCCTCCTACTATCACCTGTAATTTACAGTAAAAAAAATGCGTATTATTTTCGAGAAATTACGGTAATTTGATTTTAAAACAATTATTACTTATTTTTAGTGCTGAAATGGATGCTTTCATGACGTTTTGACATATCTATCGATAACCTGATTATTGCGAGATTTATGTAATTGTAGTAAAATTAAATGAAGAATACAACGTAAACACTGTTTTTTATATAATTTTTTTTAATTACACGGTAATCTTAAAAATTCTAAATATTTTAAGCACTCTAATATTTTATTGAATTTTAAATACTTTGGCTTTAAAGTACTTGTTGAAGAAATGTTAGAAAATTACTAATAAATACTAAATATATAATAGTTATAGCACCTATTTTCTCATAATACCGTGTATGGTCGTCTGTGTTTACAAGAATCGACACGTTTACACACACACACACACACACACACACACACACACACACACACACACACAAAAAAATTCAAAATTCTTTTTAAAATATTGAGGGTCGCTGAATTGGAGTAAACTTTCCCATTTATAATTAGTAAATATAATTTTTATTTAATAACAATATCACTTGACCATTACAAATTAAAACAGTATTTTAAAAGATTTAATTTTTATAAATTATTTTAATTAAAATTTTTAAAAAATGAAAACAATTCTTATCACAATTTATTATTCATCGAAAAAATAATTTTTCTTAAGACAACAGCGTCCATAATTTATTTCATTCTTAAAAGCAATTAAAATCATTTAAAATTAAATAATGATTTAGTTTTATTTCATATTTTTTATTTTACGATTCAGAGCGGATATTTTCTAACTAAATCCTCCGAGGACTTGTCCTAATAACTAATATAAATTTATTGAAATTTCATAAAATTATATAAGTGTGTGTGCGTGTGTGTGTGTGTGTGTGTGTGTGGTGTAACAGATGCAAAAAAAGAATATATCTTTACCAAGATTTTCTAAAAAGAAACGTTTCTAAAATAATTTCATTAATTTGCGAATAAGTCCTAAACGTAGTCTGTCTATATTTCTGAGATGAGGTATTATGTACATTATTTACATTATTCAGACCATTGTCCTCATCTTTGTCGCCATATTTATTACAACGTTTCGGACGGCCGAAACGTTGTAATAAATATGGCGACAAAGATGAGGACAATGGTCAGAATAATGTAAATAAAGTCCTGAACATGTTTTATTATTATTATTATTATTATTATTACAAATCCAACAATTATGAGAGTTTTAGAAAGAATTTCCAATTCAATGTATTTTCACGGCAAAAAGACGATCAAATTTCCCATACAAATTTATGGCAATGCTTTGACACCAGAAAAAAAACGTCCTGGGTAGGACAATAAACTACATCCGACAGCAAGGCCTGTGATCAGGGGGTTTTGAGGAGCGTGGAACCACCTCTTAATTGCTGGTGTTCCCAGGTCTACCCTGACCCTGTTAGGGTCCCAGCTATGAGCAAATAGTTAACCCCCAAACTGGAGTCAAAACACTATGAAAGTCTGAAAATAGGTTTTAATACCAGCAATAATTTTTTTTAAGGAAAAATTATTACCGACCATGCATTTTTGAAAAATAAAATATTACCAGCAATACATTTTTTGAAGAAAAAAATATTACCAAAAATACATTTTTGAAAAAAAAGATAATACCAGCAATAGAGTTTTGGAAAAAAATATTAC